ACCAGAAAAGCCACAGCGCCGACGGCCCCTTCATCTGCTCCGAGTGCGGGAAGAGCTTCCGGCGCAACGGGAACCTGGTGCAGCACCAGCGCATCCACAGCGGGGACCCCCCCTTCAGCTGCAGCGACTGCGGGAAAACCTTCAGCCACAGCGGGAACCTGGCCCAACACCAGCGCGTCCACACGGGCAAAGCTCCCTTCGTCTGCACCAGCTGCGGGAAGAGCTTCAAGTACCAGGGCAACCTCAGCACCCACCAGCGCCTGCACTGCGGCAGCGGCCCCTTCATCTGCGCCGAGTGCGGGAAGGGCTTCAGCACCAAAACCAAGCTCGGCCACCACCAGAAGATCCACGGCGGCGTGGGGGCCTTCGGCTGCGCCGAGTGCGGGAGGAGCTTCGGCTGCAAGAGCGACCTGCGCTCCCACCAGCGCAGCCACACCGGTAAATGGTGGGGAGCACCGCGGGTCCCGGTGGCGGTGCCGGGTGCGGGTCGGGGTGTTGACGGGGTCGCAATCGATGGGAAAACCTCTCTACGTAGCTGCACATAAGCAGGCGTTTCTTTATATTGCAGCGCTGGGGAAGCACGGGGGAATCCTCCTCTAATCGTGCTCCCAAGCCCAAACATTTCCACAGCCCGTTTAAACATCTTTAACAAAGCCAAATCGTCCGAGCACGCATAAGATGATCACCTTTTAATCTGCCCTTTACCTCGGTTGGTTCCCCACTGTCACGCCGTATAAGACACCGAATTACTTCAAAAGCTCACCCCCTATATAATTTTGACATGGGGAGAGAAAAGAGAAGTTACGGCCTATTCTTCTCGTACCCTTTCCAAGCACCTGCACACACCTATCCCGTAATCCCTGTTCTAATGACTTAATCATCAACCTACTTCTACTGTCGGTCAAAGTGTTCTCTGAACTCTACGGCTCAAACAAACGCCTACTTTAATCAACCAGAATTTCCCCATGACTACAACAGGGGGGTCCCGCCTGTTCCTGGCTGGGCAGCATCGGGGCCGGGGAATTGGGATGTTTTGGTGGTTGCCCGTTACCCCACCACCAGTAAAACCCCCATTCTGGTGTCATCTGGTGAAGCTGAGGTAACCGACCCTGCAACGCCAGCGTTAATTATTAATTAATGGCCGTTAATTACTGGCCGTGCCGTTAACGAGGTGATTTATAAAGCCTATAGCTAAGATTTGCCGTGGCGCAAAACCTCTCGGCAGCCGGTGGCAGCGGCAAAGTCCCCACGCAGGGAAGCCGATGGTGGGAGCACAGCCCCAGGGTTGCCGGGATGGCCCTGTCTGTGTTTCCCCGACGGTTGGTACCCCCGCAGGGTCTCACCCGTTGGCCTGCCCTCCTCGGCTGCCGGTGGTGCCCGGGAGGTGCCCGGGAGGTGCCCGTGGGGCTCTCCTGCTGCCCATCCCCGGCTCCAGCCCCACGGGTGCCTCCTCCCAGCCCGGCCCTGCTTGGGGGACCTGAGTCCAGCAGGGTCTGTGGGTGCTGGGAGAGGGGACTCCCCCCCATGGCTGCTTCCCTTCCCAGCTCCCCCTTGGGGGGCCGCAGGGGGGCAGCAGCCCCCGAGGCTGGGCAGGGCTGTCTGTCTGTCTGCCTGTCTGTCTGTCCATCCCCACTCCGCCGATTCGGGTGTCCCGTCCGTTGCAGACCCCCCGAAGCAGGAGCCCGTCAAGGACCTGGTTTTGGTGACGTTCTGAAGAGGTCGCAGCTGAACCCGGTCGGGACCACGAGAGGGGAAACTGAGGAATTATTAATTCAGGAGCGGAGGATGGGCCGTGTATGGGAGAGGGGACGGCGCCAGTGCCCTGCAGATCCAGCAAAACCCCGGCGCGGTTTGATCCGGGAAGGACTCAGGAGATACTTAGATTAGATTATCCGATAATTGTAGACATAATTAGATGATGCAACCCCGAAACTTCTGTGTAGAAACACGCCAAGAGAAGCGGCGGTGGCTGCGTGCAGGGTTTGGATGGGATAAATCCCCCGCTCGCACCCGATGTTGAATAAAAGACGCCTGTGCCTTAACGCTGCGTTGGTGTGAGCGGTTTGGGTTTTTTTTCCTATCCCCGATTTCGGTGCCATGACCTCGGTTTTTGGGCGGGTGC